TACATCAGCATTAGGAAGAGTACAGTTAAAAGCAAATAAACAAGTAAACAGAGAAGTTTTGACGCTGTACCTGCAGTGTCAGGCTGATAGGACTCAAAGGAGGTGAAGGTGCTGCTCTCGGCGATGGGCTTCCCACGCGAGCAGAGCGAAGCTCTGGATCCGAGCCGCTCGCTGTCCCCTGAGGACACCATGGACACGGGCTCCTCTTCATGGTCCATATCTGCCTCTGAGATGGTGCTCAACCTCCTCACCCCGCTAACCACAGCTTCACTCATCCTGCATCAGGAAACCAAAACCAATATCACAGCAGATTTAGCAAAGGCACATGCTGAAGCAGTGCTTTCGACAGGAATAAGAGTATACTCTACCTTCAGTGTTTCCAGTAGCCCTGCTCCTACTGATCCGACTCTATTATCTCTGAGAAGAAAATGAGCTACACACTTCAGTCTGATCTGAGCTTAACACGTGCCAGATCCAACCAGTAGTTTGGCTGTAATAGCTTCAACTATGACCAAAACAAGATGTTTTATCTAAATGCAGAAAAATCTGCACACATTGGAATAGGAGCAAAATTGCGACTGACTTGAGTGTGAGAATGAAGATGTGAATGCAATATCTTTGCAATAACCTGTACTGAATAAATTATTAAACGGCATCCACACGCACTGGTCTCTGGATAGTTTCCAGCGTGGCTGCAGGTCCATTAGTGTTGTGAAAGTCTCGGTCATGTCTCAGTCTCCACCGCATTTTGAACTTGGTCTCGTCTCTGTCTCAGACTTAGAGGACTCAGGATTTTATCTCTAGACCACAGATGCAAGGACATCACTAAATTGCTGCTTCGTGGTCAGATTTATTTGTTAACATCATCAATGTTAAACTTACTGCGTGAAATGCAATCAATAATTTATCTTTTATTTTTAATCTGATTTATTTAGTTACCAGGTTTGAAATCAATGCTGGATTGTCTCAAAAAAGTAAAATGCCCCAAATTCATACAATTGCCCACAAATTCAAGATATGATTGCAAACAAAAGTACTTGTTTATATTATGACATTTCAGTAAAGCTGCAGTCCGCAGTTTTTCCTCTTTGTCGCCATCTGGAATTATCAACTTTACGTGAGTTGTACTTCGACACCCTCGACATGGCAGGCAGGGATGAACACACTGTTTGAGGAGACTGTGTGTGTCAGCTGCCACGCTGGTGTCAATACTGGCATTCAGAATCACAGATTATTCTTTTTGGAAGTATGACCAACATAATAATTTGAACTGGAAAATGTCATTTGAACTAGTAAGAAACATTAATGATTCAATATAATAATGACTCAATATAGACTCAATATTATATATACAGTATACATATATATACAGTATATATATATATATATATATATATATATATATATATATCGTATACTAGCCGAGACTCTTCTTTATGTGTACAGTTGTGGCGTAATGACTCAATATAGCTTACACTAGTTGAGAATATAGCTTATACTAGTTGAGTTTTATAATATAGCTTATACTAGTTGAGTTTTAATATTCAACAATATTATTGATCTGTGTTGCATTACTTTCATGTTATCACAGTGAAGCTGCTTTGATACAATCTGTATTGTAAAAAGCGCTATATAAATAAATGTGACTTGACTTGACTAGACTCTTCTTTATGTGTACAGTTGTAGCGTAATGACTCTATATAGCTTATACTAGCCAAGGCTCTTCTTTATGTGTGCAGATGTGGCGTAATGACTCAATATAGCCGACTAGCCGAGACTCTTCTTTATGTGTACAGATGTAGCGTAATGACTCTATACAGCTTATACTAGTCGAGACTCTTCTTTATGTGTACAGATGTGACGTAATGACTCAATATAGCCGACTAGCCGAGACTCTTCTTTATGTGTACAGATGTAGCGTAATGAGCAATATAGCTTATACTAGCCGAGACTCCTTTATGTGTACATATGTGACGTAATGACTCAATATAGCTTATGCTGTACTAGCCGAGTCTTCTTTATGTGTACAGATGTGATGTAATGACTCAATATAGCCGACTAGCCGAGACTCTTTTTTATGTGTACAGATGTGGCGTAATGAGCAATATAGCTTATACTAGCCGAGACTCCTTTATGTGTACGTGACATAATGACTCAATATAGCTTATACTGTACTAGCCGAGACTCTTCTTTATGTGTACAGATGTGATGTAATGACTCAATATAGCTTATACTAGCCGAGACTCTTCTTTATGTGTACAGATGTGGTGTAATGACACAATATAGCTTATACTAGCCGAGACTCTTCTTTATGTGTACAGATGTGGCGTAATGACACAATATAGCTTATACTAGTCGAGACTCTTTTTTATGTGTACAGATGTGGCGTAATGAGCAATATAGCTTATACTAGCCGAGACTCCTTTATGTGTACGTGACATAATGACTCAATATAGCTTATGCTGTACTAGCCGAGACTCTTCTTTATGTGTACAGATGTGATGTAATGAATCAATATAGCTTATACTAGCCGAGACTCTTCTTTATGTGTACAGATGTGGTGTAATGACACAATATAGCTTATACTAGCCGAGACTCTTCTTTATGTGTACAGATGTGGTGTAATGACACAATATAGCTTATACTAGCCGAGACTCTTCTTTATGTGTACAGATGTGGTGTAATGACACAATATAGCTTATACTAGTCGAGACTCTTTTTTATGTGAACAGATGTGGTGTAATGACTCTATATAGCCAACTAGCCAACACTCTTCTTTATGTGTACAGATGTGGCGTAATGACGAAAATCTCCCGCATAAATCCACCAGTACCGCTGAAATTAAAAACATTATTACAAGCTTTAATAATTATGAGAGTTTTGAACAATGGCTGCTTATGCATTTTCTCAGATATGTATTTCGGATAATTTTTAACCCCCCCAAAAACCTACGGACTGCAGCTTTAAGCAATATCACAAGAACAAAAGAGCTTTTTTCTTGAATATGAGCACGATTGCAAATGTGATATTTATTTTATACAAACATTCAACACACATGAAGTTAATAAAGGCGCAACTTAATTTTTTCAACAAAAATACTTCCAAGAAAATCCACCATAGCAGGACTGTTTGTGCATGTGCAGCCTATCATTTGATTTTTCCATCACATTTCTATATTCAAAATTTTATTTTTAAAACATTATTATCAACATTTGGTGCAATTGTACCAATTCAGATGCAACTTCTGTGCCAACTCGACAACACTTAAATGAATTGTATAGTTTGTGATTTGATGGTAACTGGACTTGTCTTGGCCTCGGTTTTGGTGGTCTTGGCAACTCTAGGTTTTATGAAGTGACTTTAATAATAATTTCTGTTGCTGCATTATTTCAGGGATCGTTCTTCAGGTTTAATGCTTCTAAATTATATAAAAGTCGACAAATAAACTAAAGTCAACTGTTTGCAAAACTCTGTGCAACTGAAGTGAAACTGGACAGTTTTCACTGAATGTATATATTCAAAATCTGGCATGTGTAAATATGAGGGGGGATAAAATGAATGGCTACATACAATAATAAAAAACTGACAAATCTTCCCAAATGCTATTCAAAACAAACTTTTTATTATCAGCTTATTTTTCTCATTTTAGACAATGGCAAATACAATCACATCTCAAGGTGCATTAAGGATGTTTTATATAAAAAAAGAATAGAAATAATTCAGCCAAATGTGCAACTTCAAGTAAGAAACAAACACATTAAATCATGTAAACAAGCAGTTTTCTGATTCTTATGATTGTCAATGATTCATAAATACAAGCATTTTTAGAATACATTAGATAAAAAACTTGGTGAAACCCCTAATGCACAAGTAACAGCAAAAAATTCAGCATAATAACCTTTTTTTAATATATATTTTCATAATCTCAGTTTTCATGGCTTCACAGAAGCAAAGTGACACACTTAATAGTTTTGTAAAAGTCACCTCATCTTCAGTATCACAGCAGTCAGAACCAAACCTCTGAAGAACACAAATCAAATCCTTTGAGAACATGCGCTTTTGCTGTATATATGACAAGTTCTGATTCTTTGTTAATTCAAATTAATTTACACGGTTCGACAACCATCAGAGAAATGACTTCAGCAGTAATCACATGAAATCTTTGGCATAACTGCATCAGGCATAATCAAGCAAAGTATAACATTTTTTTACAGAACAAAAAGTACTTTAAAGTGCACCTCAACATTGACAATCCCTTCAATGATTAAATCTCCCTTTTTATCATTCACTGCAAAATTATAGATCACTGATTTAAAGGGATAGTTCACCCAAAACAGAAAATTCTGTCAGTATTTACTCACCCACTTTCGTTCATCTTCGGAACACCAATTAAGATATTTTTGATGAAATCTGAGAGCTGGATCATTCCTCCATACTAGTCCATAGGCTTTTTGAGGGATTGAAACTTGCCGGCCTCGAAAAGTTATTAAAGACACCGTCAAAATAGTCCAAGTGACTTCAGTGGCTCAATCTTAACTTTATCAAACGACGAGAACACTTTTTGTCCACAAAACAAACATAAATAATTACTTTATTTCAACCATTCACTTCCTTCTCTTTGCACCACTAGTCAGTTAAACTAGTGTAATTGCGTATGATCTGTTGTTGTACGTCACACGCATCACACACATGGCCAGCGTCGGCCAATAATGAGCCTACGTGTGACGAAGCTCGACGCTATTACACTAGTTTGACTAGAGGCGCAAAGAGAAGGAAGTAAACAGTTGAAATAAAGTCATTATTTATGTTTGTTTTTGTGCACAAAAATTGTTCTCGTCGTATGATAAAGTTAAGATTGATTTTAACTGTTTTTAATAACTTTGAGGCCAGCAAGTTTCAATTCCTCAAGAAGCCTATGGACTAGTATGCAGGAGTGATCCAGCTCTCAGATTTCATCAAAAAGATCTTAATTTTTGTTCCGAAGATGAACGAAAGTCTTACGGGGTTGGAACAACATGAGGGCGAGTAAATACTGACAGAATTTTCATTTTTGGGTGAACTATCCCTTTAAGCTATAGCAGGTGAGAAGCTCTCGAATTGACCTTGAGCAGAGAGCATATGTTTCATACTGAGGGATTCATTCAAGCAATATCTTTCAACATAGCTGCTCTGTTCAGTATCAGTAAAGCACAGAATTTGGAGTCGATTGGATGAAACCGCGCTGCCATTGAGATCCCAGCCGTTCAGTTGTTTCACCTGAGCAGTTTCCCATCCTGAGGGAAGTGAGGTTTGGACCACATCATCCCAGAGGGCTGGTGGGTGGTGGTGTTGGCGCCGCAGTCGATGTAGCGGTAAGACTCCAGTGTGTTCTGGGCCGTCCGCACCATGTAGGAGGTCTTCACTGAGGTCCTGGAGTGTATAAGAGAAGCCATCAGGTACATGTCATTAAGAATCTCGAGGAAAACCCTTCATCTCCTCAAGACGAAGACTATGGCCATCCATAAAAAAAACCTTTGGCCCTCCCAAATTCCTTTTTAATGGATAACAGAGCACTATTTTAAGGTCTATACATATGATCAAACATGGACTTAAATATTTGACATCAAATTTCAACAGCAAGGAACATTCCTCTCAGGATTTCCTTCTCGAACTCCGCCTCCACTTTACTCATGTATGCGAGCTGTAATCATACTGCAGTGATCGCTGTGAGCTTGAAATGGACAAAACTCACAAGTAATCTTGTATATGTTTCACCATCTTTTTCCCTTGTAAAACAGATTTATTTTGTAGCTTTAGCCTTACTAGGTCAACCCAAAGCATTTCATTCTCTGTACCTCCAAATAGGAAATTGATGCGTGAATAAAAGTGGAAAACTAGGCTAGTTAACTAGCTAGTTTTACTAGTTAACTTTAATTGTGCGCTCATGATGAGAGTTTTCATTATTAGATTGTTTGTTTTAGTGGTTTATTATTACTTGGAAAAAAATATATATAAAAATGGCATACTTTTCTTAAGGTTTTCTATGTGCCATTTGTGCCATAGACATTGGTGTTTACATGTAAATCACTGTTTTTGGCTCTGTGAGCTCAAGATTCAATGACTATTTTGAGTGTTTAGGTTTTATTTTTCTTTCACAAAGTACAACGGCTACGCCGAAGGAAACTGTTCCAAAAAGTATTGTCAGGACCTTTGCAGGGAAGGAAATATAGAGACCGGACATCTTGGAATTTTAATAAAACCCCATTAAAAGTTTCCTGGAGGCACCTCTGCACCTCCAACGTTCAATGTAGGACAACAGCAAAAGAAAAAGAAAAAATGTAGTGCTGAGAAACTTACTGCATGAACACCACAATGTTGTGGACCTTGATGCTTGCCATGGTGCAAAAGGCACTGAGAAAACACACACAAATAGTTGAGAAACAGAAGAGCGGACACACAGATTCATGGGCATCAACGTGTCCATCTAAAGGCCCATTCACATCAAGGACAACTATAAATGTACAGTGGTGTGAATAAGTGTTTGCCCCCATGCTAAAGTTGCCTAAAGAGAGGAATAAAAAATCATCTTTTGGATATTGATCTTAATGCCTTAATTAGAAAAATGAGGAAAACTCCAACCTTTAATTACACCAATTTTCTTTGTGAATGAATAATAATGTATCATAAATAAATAAATGTTTTTCCTTAAAATACAGGGTGCATAAGTCATTGTTCCCCTATGTTAAATTCCCATAGAGTCAGGCAGATTTGTATTTTTAAAAGCCAGTTATTTCATGGATCCAGGATAATATGCATCCTGATAAAGTTCCCTTGGCCTTTGGAATTAAAATATCCCCACATCATCACACACCATTCACCATGCCTTGAGATTGGCATTACTTCAGTTAGCCTAATAGCTGATTTGATTTGCATTGAAAGATGATCTTATGGAAAGTACCCCATGCCAATCTCTAGGTGTGGTGGAAGGTGTGTGATGATGTGGGGATATTTTAATTCCAAAGGCCAAGGGAACTTTATCAGGATGCATATGAAGAGTTCAGATGCAAAAGCCTCTAAGTGCCATTTGAAATTTTCCTCTTTAATGATCATTTTTATCAAGCTTGTATATTTAAGTTCAGTGATTTCACTTAAATGGCAATGATAATTACCTATTAATTGTTATTTAAGTGCAATTACTGGGCTTAAATATACAAGTTTGATAAAAATCATCATTAAAGAAGAAAATTTCAAATGGCATTTAGAGGCTTTTGCATCTGAACTCTTCATATTATCCTGGATCCATGAAATAACTGGCTTTTAAAAATACAAATCTGCCTGACTCTATGGGAATTTAACATAGGGGGGCAATGACTTATGCACCCTGTATTTTAAGGAAAAAACATTTATTTATTTATGATACATTATTCATTCACAAAGAAAATTGGTGTCCTTAAAGGTTGGAGTTTTCCTCATTTTTCTAATTAAGGCATTAAGATCAATATCCAAAAGATGATTTTTTATTCCTCTTTTTAGGCAACTTTAGCATGGGGGCAAACACTTATTCACACCACTGTATGATTTAAATTACATTTATGATAACTATAAATATAGAAAAATTGTTCTAAATGAATAGCAGAGTCCAGTCACTCACACCACAACTATAGGCTCAGCTGATGAATGATACAAACACTGAGAGCCAATCCATCCTGCTTTAAAGAGCTCGAGCATTTAAAGCGACAGACGGCAAAACTGCAGCGTATGCTTAGAATAAACAGGATGTTATTATGGATTGGTGCAGATGCTAATGTAATTATCTTTATAGCAATTGTTCTCGGTGTGAACAGGCCTTAAGAGAACTGATATGATACTCACTAAACATAAGAGAGGCTTCCTCCAATCTCCACACTGACAGTGAAGTTGACCTGCATTTAAAAACATGTTACACCACTAGTACACAACACGCAACAACCTGTGTCACTTCTTCCACTACATATACACTAAAGTTCAGAAGTTAAAGACTGTTATACAAAAGATTTAGATCCCAAATAAACAATCTATTCATTGAAGTATCCTGATATAAACGCACCACGGTTTCCACAAGTATATTAAGCAGCACAACAATCTTATAACAATGATATTGATCAGAAATGTTTCTTGATCTTTAAATCATCATATCAGAATGATTTCTGAAGGAGGATCATGTGACACTGGAGTAAGACATGATGCTGAAATACATTTCCAATATGTTTAAATAGAAAACAGTTCAATATTTCACAATATTAGGGTGTAAAATATTTGTATTGAACATTGATGGAGCAACAGATTTTGTGAGAAAATAAATGATAAAATATGTTAATTTTGGATCTTTCGTCCCATACACGGGGTAAAACAAATCCAGCACGGGGCAAAAGGCACACATTCTGGATTCAAATACTTTGCTAAAATAATGTTTTTAATAATGTTTAAGTTAATACTTGTTCAAAACAACCACTTTCGCACAGTGTCTTTATAAATATTGGTATTATCTCTAAGGTTGACATGCAGCTTGATGTATGACATTTCCCATCTGAATCTAACCAGTCATGTCAACAAATGGAAAAGTTAGATATTTATTATCATGTTCATTATTGTGTCTTCCTTTTACCCCAAAAATACAAACACTGTTGCTTTAATTACGTTGAACAAAACTGAAAATCATTAAGACGACCTTTGTCTCAAAATATATTCAGTAATTTTAGCGATTCTCGATTCGTTAAATTTACAACATTTGAAAAAACATCAAATATTAGATTAAATTAGTGCAGAATCAACTTTAAGTTAGCACTTTAGAATAATTTAGCTGCATTTTTGATCAAATAATTGTAATCTTGGATATCTAACCGACCCCAAACTTTTGAACGGTAGTGGCCATTATGAAATGAAGCCGACTCATCATACCTGTCTCTGGCTGAGAGGCTGAATGTGGATGACATTGTCCAGTGTTTGGGAACCAATGACAGTCTTCATGTAGAGCACCTGACAGCTCACACTGTCCACCAACACCGTGAAGAAATTAGAGTTGGTGAAGTTCAGGGAGCTCTGTTTAAAGAATCAATCAATATTACACACAGTACAGACAGTATTCACAACAGACCAGTGCCAAGTTTCTTTAAATCAGTTTTCTGATTCGAAGCATTGTGTGAACACGCAATATAATCAAGAGTATCTTACTAGAGTATTGATTCTGAAATATACAATTTATTCCCATTGTAAAACTCATGCAAGGACGTTGAATCACCGTCATGTTGATGAGCACTTTGCTGTTGTTACGGTCGAAGTGGACCGTCACCGAGCGAATGCCGTCGTCAACGACCAGCACGGGACGTGGAAACAGGAAGAACGCCACCAGAACAGACGCCAGCAGGCACAAAACCACTGACAGCACCACATACGACTTCCTGGCGGGAGAACGACTGCACTATCATCAATCCGTTTCAGGCCGTTAAAGGGATGGTTCACCCCAAAATGAACACTCGTTTACAAATCATCCCTGATGTGTATGACTGACTTTCTTCAGATAGTGAAGATTTTTAAGGAAATAAGTCCATATAACATTAAGTGAATGGGTGCCACTCGTTTGACGCTTGAAAAACCACACACTCAAAGCTATTGTGTTCTGACTTTGGCTCACGCATTTTAGAACCACCAACCCAACATTTGAGATGCTGTGTGATGTGATAGGTCCGCTGGTTAGTCCAGATATCCAATCACATTCACTGTTGAGGCAAAGTCATGCAAGTTTTTGTTGCACATCGAGGGATTTGTTCGGTAAATGTGTTTCCATCATTGATTATGCGCACATCATCTTATCGGATAAAAAAAATTATCCGCCCCAGTTGAGCACATGCTTTTTTTTTTTTATGCGCACCTTGGCGTTTCCATCCAGAGTTTTTTTTTTTTATGCAATATCCCAAAGTGTGCATTTATAGACAAATCCGGCGAAACTACCTGAAGTAAGCGGGGCGCCATTACTGAGCTGTTGCTGGGTAGTGGGTAGTCCTATTGTTTTAGTTGCAACTTGCGTCCACTGGAATAAACAGCCCGCGATTTACGACCGTCACTAACGTTACAACGTTACCCCTTGTATAATGTGGAGTGGGTAAACAGTTTCCGTTATAAATTGTTTCAATGGTGGCAGTAAAATTTCAATTTTGAAGAGAAATCACTGTGAATACCCCGGGCCGACTGCCCCTGTCTGGTGCCGTACGGTTTACAGATTTCCTGGGCGAGTACAAGACGCGGACATTCGCGTATACTAACAATTATTTAATGACATAAGTAAAAAAATATAATAAATATGTGATATAGTGATCAGCAAAATCTCCTCTCTTGCTATTTTTTCTATTCAATTAACATGCTATGGTCATTAAATGGCTTTCCTGAGTTAAATGTAACGTTATGCGACATAATTGTTTTCCCGCTGTTATATTGACCGCTTTCCATGGTTTAAAAACACCAATTGGTCGATATTATGTATACTTTCTAGCTGTACCTTACCCTTGCCTGTTGCAATGTGAAAATGAGATAAATAATGGACACAAATGAAAAACATGAATTTGTTTATTTGATTTCATTCATGTATTTATTTATTGTTGCCAAATGGACAGATCTTTTTATAGTTTCCTCGTTAGCAAACGTTAGCCTAGCTAGCTTGCCAAGCTATTTTCATAAATAACGTTAATCTGTAAGATCGTTTGTACCTTCATCTGTGACTGGAGGCCACTGCAGTCACAGATCAAACCAACAAGTCATTCTGCCTGGCTGTAGCTGTCATCGAGGGTGAGTTCGTGTTATCACCGAGGTTTGTTTACATACCGGTGCATATGTCTATGCCGGTGTAACAGCTCAGTAATGGCTTCGCCACAAGATGGCAGCCAACACAGAACGCTCGTCGGATTCGTCTATAGGTTGATGGAAAGATAATGTCTTCAGAAGCAGTGTTGTGTGTAACGCGTTACAGTAACGCAACTACTTTTTCAGGTAAAAAGTAGTGTAAAGCGTTACTAATGAAAATTTGGTAACGAAACGTAGTTCCTTTTTCAAATCGGCGCAACGTTACTTTTCCCAGAGACAGATTTGACAGCGATCGACATCTCCGTGAACGCCTAGAAATGCATATAATGGATTACATAAACAGAGAGTAGCCTATTTGTTTTCGTTTTGAATTGTTTCGTTTAAAGACATTTCAAGCTTTCTATATATAAATATATTTATCATGTCTGCAAGGCATACGCTGAGTTTCGGTTAGTTTATGATGAGGTGCTCTAGTTCACGAGTTTAAATTATTAGTATTTTTCTTACAAAAACACTTCAGAAGACATTGATCCATGCGCTGTGGTGCTTTGGTTTACCATCAAGATCGCTGTGTGTGGGGTTTTTTTTAAGCGTCAACTGGCATTCAATGGCTTATGGACCATATTTTCCTAAAAATCTGAAGAACAAAAGTCATATACATCAAGGATGGCATGAGGGTAATAAATGATGCGATAATTTCTACCCATTTAAAACATGCTTTAATAAAAAAAAAAAATAATCTTTTTATTAAGATACATACTACTGTGTGGTTCATACAGGCAAATACTGTATCAGATATGAGCATCAAGGCACATTTCCACAGAGAATGTGCTGTGTGTGGTAACTTACGTCCACCGTGGCTGTAACCTTTGATCGCTGTAGGGTATCAGAGCAACCAACTCATTCAGCTGACCTGAAAGACAAGCCTCGATTCAATCAGACGGTCAGATAACATGAAGAATCCAACCAAAGTTCACACAGTCATCTCAAAAACTCATGACCTCGGTCAATAACCCTATTTGTACAAAAAGACCTTATAATGGATGCGATATTTGTGTAAAAGTCTTTTATAATTTAAAGGCAAATTTAAGGCTTTCATTCATATTTAGATATACCGTCACTGAAGTGAGGCACCTTGATCTTCAACAATGAGATTTTATGAATAATTACCATTGTCAATCGATAATGGAAAAACCTAGCTCAAATGTAAAATGTGCAGCATTACAGTAATGAGAACTTTTGGAAACAAACTGTTCAATTGTCCTGTGTGGCTCTAATATAGGGATCATTCCTCCTGTTTTTCAAGATGAAATATGACCCGGACATGTTGTTTTCGCGAGAATCTTCCTTCTACACTTATATTTCGATGTCCATACCTGATGGGATGCGTCCGGACCCCTGGCAGGTGGGGCAGGTGATGCTGTCTCGGCCTGTGAACTCCACATAGGGGAACTGGGCGATGTCCTCCTGTCTGTCCAGCCCGTCCAAAGAGTCATCCCCACCTATCAAATCCCCCTTATGGTCCTCGACCCTGCCGTGACCCCGGACAGGCAGGAGCGAGCGCCCGTACCGGCACACAGATGCACCCATGAGAAGAAGCCCACACGAGCTCCAGCCTGATACAACACACTACACACACATATGAACAGCAGTCAGTATAAACACACAAACATTTGATATATACATTTACGTACAATCAAATCTCAAGGCAATGTACACATACATAACACTACACTACACACACACACGCACACACACACACACATACATACATACATACATACTACATACATATATATATATATATATATATATACAGTATATATACACACACATACACACACACACACACACACACAGTTTGTCTGTTTAAACCTAGTCTATTATCTGACTGTAGCAACTTTACACAACTGTACACGTTAACAAACTCCGGCATGTATTAGGATACTGTAGTTACAATAAGTTTACGTTTGGAAACTTAGATTTTTATTAAGTTACTTTATTGTGATTTTGATGTCGATCATGCGCGTGAAAAGGCCTATAGCTTACCGTTGAAGTGTACAGACTCACAGACGTCAGTGTTTTAACTCCTCTCCTGCGTCGGAGTGATTCCGCTGTTTGTGTTTGTCTTCTCCCTCTTTGCTCTGCAGTCACTGAGTTCTCGAGAATCCTGCCATCTGCCGATCTGGAGATCAACTGCTGCAAATAACAAATCATTTAGCTACTCAGCGGGACATTTTCGCAAAATAAGCATGAAAAGCAGCGTCGCCAAAGGTAGCAAAGCTATTTAACTACATTAGCGTAACTTAGATCAATCTGCTGTGTGAAAGTGTCAGAAACATTTGAGTTGGCCTTCATGTTGTTAATGTATTATTATTATTATTTTAAATTAATTAAAGACATATTTTATTTTATTCACAATTAAGGGTAGGTAAATAATTCCAGATTAAAAAAAAAAACAAACATTATAGCCTACTGGTTGAAAGTCTCTCTTTACATCAATCACTATTGGTCTAAATGTTTACTGTGGAAGGCATGCCATGAGGCCATACTATGTTTGCATTCGGTCTAATGGAGAGAGTTAAGGCTCAATGTTATAACATTCTCAGTATTAAAAGAATAGCAGAGTTCACACCACAGCTATCACAATAACGGCACACAGAAACAATTGTTGAAATCTAGAACTACTAGAAATTTAGAACTATTTTATCCCAGCTGATGAACAATAAAAACATTGAAAGCCAATTAGAATCCATCCTGCTGTAACCGGAAATAAAAAAATCCGGGAAATGGTTCAGGAAATGTACAAGTAAGGAAAGTTCTAAAATTAACAAGGGGGTAATCCATCGACCGGAAGTTGAAGCCGGCCGGGTGCCGCCATCTTGTAGCAGAACTTTTCTTGAGTTAGCATTCCATTGACACCCATTCGTTTTGGTGTCACGTTGACAGCGAATAACTTTACATCTGAGGCGTTTGAAGACTCCATTTGTCCATTATTTATTTCTAAAAAAACACGACAATGTATAAAATGCTCCATTACCTTGTAGCTTATATTATGGCCCCGTAAGCATTTTTTTTAAAAGTAGGCTAAGGATTGCGTCATAACCACGCTACTCTCTGTCGCACCATACAGAGATTACCGTATGGACAGGAGGAGAAGCTTGCGGGTAATCTGGGAAACGTGGAGGCAAAATGACAAAAAAATGAATCAGAATACCTAGCAAAAATTTCTCCTGCTCCTAGCTTGGACGGCTCCTACTCACACAGCTCCACCTCTGTGAGTTTCGGAAGGGAATGATTCAGATTTCTCATGCCACAGCCACTAGAAGACAGACGGGTTGCTCACGTCACATCTACGTCGTCAAGCTCTGTTTGAGTTGGTTTGAGTCTGCGCGTCAGGAACGGAAGTCCTAAAAAATTGCTAAAAATAGGCTTCACTTGTCTCAATTGAGTTCCAATGAGATGGCTCTGTCCACGTCTAATACTGTCTACCAATAAATATGACCGGCAATGTGCTTTGTGTGACAGCATAATTAAGATTAGCGGTGTGATTGTGTATGAGGTCAGAAGGCGCTGACGTATAGAAGTCTGCTTTGGGCCAATCATAAAATTCTTATGGAGATGACATGATTACTCCACGCTGTTTACAGTAAGCTTTTTAATAGTTTTTCTACGTAAATATGCCAGCCCGTTCTCATCCTTTAGCGTCACATAGAACGCTATATGACAAAACGGCGCTATACTATACACATGGCACCCTTTATCGGTAATATTCACGCCAACCCAAGGCGTCATAAATCCTTTAGCGTAATATGAGACTACCCTACCCTTCCCCACACCTAAACCTAACCATCACAGCACGTGTTATATTAATGATAACGGGTGCCATGTGCGTAGTATAGCGCCGTTTTGTCATATAGCGTTCTATATGACGCTAAAGGATGAGAATGCGTTGAATATGCGCAAGATGATCATCTTTGATCGTTTTGCCATATCTCGTGGCTTTTTCAAGCGTGTCACACTCAAGATCCGGCCTTTTCTTCCACTCATCAGCACTGCGGATCTGCAAAATATAATGCGCACCTCGTGTCTTTAAAGGAGAACTCCGGCGAACAATGAACCTTTGGTACAAAACCTTTGGTATAAAACGTCGGTACCTAGTCAACCATTCTCTGAGTTTTGTTTTCATGATAATCGAATGTAAAGACTTTTATCTCTAAAAACTGTTTAGCGTATAATGCTAGTAATGGGGGCATTGAGTAAGTAAAAAGAAATCGCTAGTTTATACCACTAACAAGGCTCAAAATAGCCCCACACTCACACAGTAACATAATGAGGGCCCATACATGCAAAACGAAGCATTGAGAACTTTGTAAGTGTACAAGAAGATACTTTATGAAGACAGTTCACTTCGCGTATACAGACAGGAGCCATCTTAAAAAATAGTCTCGATAAGTCGATCCCCGAACGCCATTCATACAGTTCAGAAGTTCGTTGAACTTCATAGAGTTCAGATCACTCAGCACGACGTTCGTGGTTCGACTTATCGAGACTATTTTTTAAGATGGCTCCTGTCTGTGTGCGCGAAGTGAACTGTCTTCATAAAATATCTTCTTATTAAAGGGTCTGTACACTTACAAAGTTCTCAATGCTTCGTTTTGTATGTATGGAGCCTCATTATGTTACTGCGTTAGTGTGGGGCTATTTTGAGCCTTGTTAGTGTGTTACGTCCAAGGACGTATTCATTCATTTATTTATTTGTTTATATTATTTATTTTGTTTTTTCTTTGAACCTTTTTGATTTACTCTGTTTCTGAAAGAGTGGGCGTGGTCGTGTTCCCTGTGTTTGCTTGCTGTCTCTCTTTCTCTCTCTCTCTACTCGCTCTCAGGCCTAATCATCAGCACCTGACACTCATTTGTGAATCTACCTGAGACGGAGAGTATAAGCGTGCAGTCAGCGTTTGCAGAGGAGAGCACACTTCTCCCCTGGTCCAGACTGAACTGTTGAAACGCTCTGCTGATTTTCAGAGATTGTGGTTGGGAGTTAGCAGTGGCTAACTGACTTAAGCTGTGGCCTGACTTGAGAGATCTTGTTCTCACTAAAAACTGAGAAGGAATTGGTTGCCCTGGAACTCTTGCTTAATTATTGTTTAATATTTACTTTTGTAAGGGAAGCTGTAGGGGGTGAGTGCCTTTTTCTTTGAATGCTGTTTTGACTCTGTTTTTTTGTATAGTAAGGGAGTTGAGGAAAGTTTGTGTTGTTTATTTCTTTTTTGTTTAACCCATCTTAGGTAAGTTAGAACTCCTCCTAAATTTAGTTAGTGGGCTGTTTTGTTTGTTGTTTTAGGCCTTGCTCTCCCCTGAGCCATTGCTCCCTAGGAACTCATGTTTTCTTCTCTTTTCTTAATATATTGTTTGTAAATAAAATCCTTTCATTGACATTTATATTGTCTGGTGTCATTTTCACTCTGGGACAGAGGATTGAAGTGTGTTCTCGCCCGTTTTTTTTTCTTTTGTTACTTCCCCTTGCAACCCCTAGACGGTAAGGGGGACGTAACAAGTGGGGGCTCGTCTCTTCGTTTAAGCTAATTTGGAAAGAGACTCATCTATTTGGGGTAAGTCTCCTTTTTTCGTGCTGTTTGGCAGGTTTTTTGGTGGGTGAGGAAACTGTGGTAGATGGACTTTGATTTGATTGCATTTACTCTCCAGCCTACCACCGAGGTCTTTGAACGTTGTCGAAAAGTCGATTTATTGTTGATAGCTGACTTTTTTAATATTAGTGTCCCTAAGGAAGCGGCGAAGAAAATTATTAAGCAAGAATTGCGTGATAGGCTTGTGGAAACTGGTATTTTACCAGAATACGATGCTATGGAGAAGGGTTCGTCTGACATGGCAGCGGCAGCTGTGTTAGACGAGGGCCCTCCTGCAGTAGCTTCTTTCGATCCGGCAGTGGCAATTAAAATGAAAGAGCTAGATCTTCGTATCAAGCAAGAGGAGCGTGAAACCTTACTCGTTAAACTGCGCGTCATAGAAGCGGAGACTGATCGCGATTTACAACGACGCCAGTTTGGGGTGAAAGGGCCGGAACGGGAAGATAGACCTGTCCCCTTGCCTCGGTCACGGGAAGATAGATCTGTCCCTTTGCTTCGGTCACAATCTTCTAGTAGCTTGTCGTCTGCTGCTGCTCAAAGTTCACATGCAGGTGAGCCTAATGCAAACTTTGATGTCAGTAAGTATCTCAAACTGGTACCACCGTTCAGAGAGAGTGAAGTGGACGCGTACTTCGTCACTTTTGAGCGGATAGCCACAAAATTGAACTGGCCAAAAGATATCTGGGCCCTGTTTTTGCAGTGCAGTCTCACTGGGAAAGCCCAGGAGGTCTCTGACATTGAAACAACTGACATTGAATCAACGTGGAAACGACGTCTCTCATGACATTGAAACAACGTTGATTTGCTCATCGAATTAACGTTGAACCAACGTCAGATGCGGCATTCTTCAAAGCTAAATGAAATCGAAAATTGGTTTGCTTTCATAACGTTGAAACAACGCGTTGATTTCAAGTTGATTTTCCGTTAGTTTTGAAAGAATGACGCATCTGACGTTGGTTCAACGTTAATTCGATGAGCAAAACAATGTCAGATCAACGTTGTTTCGATGTCATATTTCCACGTTGATTCAATGTCAGTTTGCTATCTGGGGAGGTACATTTAAATGACCAAAAAGTGGCGTCTCTTATCGATGCGGCTGTGTTAGCTGACGAATTTGCACTAACACATAGAAATGTGTTCACCACTGCGAGGCGTAATGTATTGCCTTTACCTGATGAGAGTTTTACTCGGGAGAAGAGTCGTGTCTTTTCTCGTGCTAAAACTGAGACCCCGTCTAGCTCGCTTCGTAAGAAAGGTATTGATAAACGAGTCTGTTTTTTTTGCCTGGACCCAAATCACCTCATTTCCGATTGTAGGGCTTGGAAACAAAAAGTTGCTGCGTCACGTCCAAAAAGTGCAGCCCCCTTAAACTAGCGATTTCTTTTTACTTAGTCAGTGCCCTCATTACTAGCATTATACGCTAAACAGTTTTTAGAGATAAAACTCTTTACATTCGATTATCATGAAAACAAATTTCAGAGAACGATTGACTAGGTACCGATGTTTTATTAGACCAAAGGTTCATTGTTCGCCGGAGTTCTCCTTTAAGAGCAAAAACGCGTTCTGTTTGATACTATGCCTTTCGCTCAGACGTCAACATTTTTTGTCAAATAGAACAGAACTAAAGTGCTTCTCCTCATGAAGACAACGGCACAGCGTTTAAAGATCACTGCCAATGACTGACATCAAAGAATTTACTGGTATTTTGGTGCTGATGTGTGATTGCTTGTGTGAAAAGCATAATTGTGTATTTACCGGTAAAGTCATATGGCAATTTTACGGTAATTTACCAGTATTGCTGTGTGAAAGTGGCTATTGTCATCTGATTCCAGTAATGAGTCGATGTGCTGCAAAACTTATGAAGTGATTATAACAGATAAAAAAGGGATGTGACCTCAAAGATATTGACACCAATGAGATTCAAAGAACGACAGAATTAGAGAATTAAAGGGTTTTGTATTTTCAGGTGTCCTTCAAGACCGCTATAATTACCTGACATATTGCTTGCATTATCATAGTTTTGTCCAAGACAGTTTGACAAGTCCATATAAGACTTGTGTAGCTAGTGTGAGCTGTGTAGGAAAACCTCACTCCCTGATCTCAAGAGGTGCACTGCGCGTGAGTAGGACCATTTGGTGCCGTGACCCGGATGGGATAGAGGGGTTCAAATCCAAAAAGTCCCTTTTCCCTTTTAAATCTACAATTACAGTGAAATATTTGGCCTATTGGATTTCAGCGGCTATGATGTTCTTAATTTTCTCGCTCATTAAGATAAAACTATGTTTTTGTAAAACGGAGGTCAAACTTGGCATCGGTTCAAGCAAAGCAAGATAATTCCCATTGTGTGGTGATCCCAGTTTTTTATCATGCCTTTGGAATCCAAAAAAACTTGACAACAGCTTCGACATGCCTCAAGATCACCTTCCAACAGTTCTGTTCCGCTTTTATGTGCCGGCAAAGTGAAGCATTCACAGAAGATATGGGTTTTTGAACTATTTAATAAAGCAAGCATGTGTTGTCGGTGATCAACACTCTTTTTGTGGTTAGATATCCTCTCGGGATGTTTCCAGTCACAGAAGCCGTTAATGAATAAATTACTTTCTGATGACAAAAGTTTGCACGCATAGCAATAAATACAGTATATACATAATGCTCCTTTAAGGGAAACGTTTCCAGGTATCACTCTGTAGCCTATACATCAGTATTGATTATTTTAATAGTTTTGTATGTATATGATACTGTAGGTTACATGTCATGCACCAAAAGGCTGTCAGCAGGATAAAACATGATGTACTTCAGTTGGGAACAAATGCCTTATACCAACAAAACTAAATTCACAATTGTTTATTTGTTAACCATATGTTCACAGATTCATCTTAAATATAGGCTAATCTTTTTTTAATTATGTTGTCTTGATGTTCCTGTAAATAATAGTTAGTTTTGAAGTGTTAAACAGTGGCATCTGCTGGACGTGTCGTTTCTGGAGCATTTACGTTTCCACTCAGAAATTCCTCTGCAAAGGAGTTTTGTCATCTTCTGAAAAGAATCTCACTGAAATAAAAATTTAGACAAATTAAAAGATTGCATATCAACATATTACCAATGCTAAATATAATCAATTTGTAGTTTTATTAAGACTTTTTCCAACAATTTATGGCTATTGTGAACAGCCATAAGTGTTGATCATTAAGGTAATGTTACAGTTGGATACGTGATGGGCACATTAGTGTAAGTAAGTGTAAGATTAGTTCATTTTGACATGGAAATATGTATATAGACATGCAGGTGAGCATTATTACTTTTACTGATGTTATTAAGAGGTTATTTACATTACAATACTGTACACAGAGACATATACATGTGTGTGTGTGTGTGTATTCCATCATTACAAAAGTGTATACTACAGATAACAACAGATACTGTACTAGATATATTTACGTAAATACATAAAATAAAAGTTTCAACAGAAATGACATCAAAGTATATTTTAGTTTTTCATGGATGCTTGTCAGTACATTCAGCATGCACCTTTAACCATATTTCAAATACTTGTACAATAGTTATTGTATGGTAGTTATGACATTACTGTATATATAAAGATGCAAGTCCTACAGTACATTAGTTGTTAAAAACACTAAAGTTCGACTAATTGCATGTAGTATAAATGTATATATAAAATACAAAACATTGTATTCAGTAGACACTTAATTATATTATTTTCATAATATGTACTTTTATAAGTTTGTCTTTTTTTTCTCCGTATAGAGCTTATGTGTGTGTGTGTGTGTTGTGTTTGTGAGTTTTCTACACATACCCTGTCCTGATCGAGATGAAGTCTTATCAATATCCGACTCATTCTCATAAATGTTCTGGACTCCACCAGCGTCCTGCAAGATAAATATCTGTGTCCAGAAAAATCACCACAGTGAGTGCTACCCATGATCAAATCAGTGCTGAAGCTGAATATTATAAACTGATGTGTACATTAACTATTCTTAAATTCCTAGATTGAAGGGTTATCATTTTCTTTTCTAGATAAGAAGTCTCTTAAAAAAAATAGTTCAATAGTAGAGCTGAACACCCAATAGAAATCTGTAAATGTTTAACTGTGTGCCTGTCATTTATTTTCATTGTTGCCTGATTTATTCCTTTAAGCAGTTATACAAGGAGACGGGTGTATGCATCTGTGTTTGTGGTTAAACATGCTTGTGTGTGTGTGCTTTTTGTGACTGTAGTAGCCTTAGTGTGTGACACATAACCCACTTCTCCATTGGCCTGCAGTCTTCTCTTCAGCTCCGCATTCTCTCGCTCCAGTACCTTATTCTGAACAGCAGAGGGAGATCTCAGACAGTTCAAGCATTCAAACAGACACTAGTCAATCAAAACCACTGAGCAACCAGGCACGACTTGACAAGAGGTTTCAGTGACGATTTATGGGTGCTTCCCAAACAGAAGGCTGGATAGTAATGAGTGTGTGTGCTTAGTAGTTCAGCACTTTGGAAGCTTGTACTAAATACTAAAATGTAAATGTAAAATACTTTATATCAAAAACCTTTAACTGCCTTTCTTTTAATATCAAAGTTAAGCGGAATGTAATTACTTTACAACAAAAGAAAAGAAAACATAATTTCTTTATCTTTTAAATTATTATTTTTGTCTTTGATTGTATAATGAACTCAGACAAGCTCAATGCCGACTCGTTTTCAGTCAGTTGGAACGTGTGCAAAGGATCGTGGGTGATTTAAAAGGTATTTTATTTAAAATCAATAGTTCTATTCATAAATATGTCCTCAATGGTGTACAAATACTTCTGCCAATTATCCGACTTATCCTCGTAAACGAAGAATTTATTATCTTTATATACATGGGACGGGTAAGTCCACGGAGGCTTCCATGTAGTTCCGCCATCTTCAAAAACTATAATAGCAGAGAGGGACAGAAGGTACTAGGCCAACACGTTTCCACAACGCGTCTTCGTTCAGAGCCAGCGTGATGTGACTGAACACAGCAGAAGCGGAGGAGCAGAGCAGTGAGAGGTGCTTGTCACTGTCCCAGCAAGTTTAAAAGGCTGCATTGCACTGTTATTTTTAATGGCAAGAATCCACCTGTCACTCAAGTGGCCACGCCCTTAATTATGCCGAATTTTAAGGCTTAGATATAATTTAAACAGATGAATTGTAAAAAAAAATGCACCCCCTCACAGTCGTCATGAAGGGCAAAATTAGCGATATAGACCAAAACAACTATTTGCCACCAGGCTGTAAAAATGTTTTTTTTCTGCTGTGAAGAAATAGATACAGATACAGATTTGACTCGCTTTTGCAGCCAGCCTCATGCGGCCACTCGATGAATTGCAGTTTAATTCACTTCAGTGTTGGCTTCAAGAGATAGACGGGGAGGTTGCCCCTTGGTATAGACGACATTGGCGTCAGAACGATCCTCATTCACACGCATCCGTTAAAAACGACTAAAAAGCTGTATTTTGCTGCCAGGCCATTAGATGGCGATGAAACACTGTAGAGTGAACATGTAATTCTTCAGAGATTTGCGTTTTTGTTGTTTACACAGAGACTTGCACTATAAAACCCGTCTTTAAAACTTTGTGTCCCAAAACGCTGTTGTCTTGTAAACGAACGGCCAAAACGGATAAAAACTTTTACATTTTTACGTTCGTGTAAACAGCCCCTAAAAACACAGACAGCAGTAGGAAAGTTAGACTGCTGTCACTTTAAGAGTCAATGCACAGATCTAATATACTGATACTGATACACATTTGTTTTACTTTCTCGACTTTTTACGAGGATACTTGACAATTTTGTTTGAATATGTCTGCTCAAGCGCAAGAAGATGTGAAAGAGAGCTCAGGTCAGTATTCGCGTGCTGTCTGAGACAGATTTCTGGACGCATGCTCGATGTTTAGTAACGAATCGAGTTCACTTTTGCGTCTTTTTGCGCTTGACTATTAAATTGAACTTGAATTTCGTGACTTAACTTTTCATGCTCCGTTCATATTTGTCCATGTTTATGTTCTCTCAATATTGCATTCTTAGAATTCATAAAAATTTGCTGGGCCAACTGCGACACTGTTTCATAAACTTATTCTTACTCGACTTGATCGACAACAGAACCGCAAGACAATACAATGCAGAATAAAGTCGTAGTTTTTGTTATTTTTGGACCAAAATTTATTTTTGATGCTTCAAAACATTCTAACTAACCCACTGATGTCACATGGACTACTTTGATGAAGTCTTTATTTCCTTTTTGGACAAGGACAGTATAGACCATTTCACAAGATGTAAACAACACTGGTCCAGAAGCACTTCCTGTTTCAGTTTGTAACTGTTTTCTTTATTTCACATGTAAATAAAACATCTTAAAGATGTTTGTTTAACTTTTTGATTCAGTTTTAAATGTTCTGTTGGTTGTATTTTATCCCAACTTTTGTGTAGTGTTAAAAAACTGAAACAGGAAGTGTTTCTGGACCAGTGTTGTTTACATCTTGTGAAATGATCTATACCGTTGCTCTTAGACTAAATCTAAAATATCTTAACCCTCCTATCCTTGGGGTCAATTTGACCCCATTCAATGTTTAACGTCTGTATCATTTTATTTATTTATTTTTGCTTAAGATTTAATGACTTTTCCTAATTTAATGGGGACAACTGTAAACATAAAATTAACCTGCTAATATTTTTTTTTAAAGTCCTGTACACATTTTGTAGCATCAATTTGACCCCAGGCTCGTTTAGTTGAACAATAAAAGAAGAAATATTAAAATTTCATAGACATTTGTTTTGGTTGTTTTATTGAGGTCACTATAACGTGTTATAATTAGAATTTATAATGTTCATTGTAATTTTACATATTCAATATCATATTCCAAAAACTTCCCTCTGTTTTAGGGCTCTAACCAAACATAACCATATCTGTAGTATTGCGAGAACCATGTGACATAATTCTCATGAGAACTAAAAATTCTTTCCTGTGCATTGGTGAGGGGAAAACATAATTTTTGCGAGAATTTTGATGTTTCCCGTGCCATGGGGGAGGGGAAAACATAACTTTTGCAAGATTGACCCATAACTATCCTTGATAGTTACTATCCATGCAAAATAAATAGTTTTTCTTTCCAAATGTTATAGATTACAAAAATCTATACTTAGAAATATTATAGAACAAATAAAACACCACATATATTTATAGGCTACTTTTCCAATTTTAGGTCAATCAGTAAGATTTTGTTGATTTGTAAAATTTGTCCATAGTCGTGCAATGGGTATTCTGGATGTATAAGGGGTTAGGTGGGGTGGGAGGGGGGGATGTCAACTTAAAAGGTTACTTAAGTAGTCAACAAAGACATACATTAACTGAGACAAACCTTTATATATAAAAAAATAATAATAATATTGTGGAGGTCAAATTGACACCAGTGGGTAAAAATGTTATCAGATTTGAGGGTAACAGGAGGGTTAAACTGTGTTCTGAAGATGGACGGAGGTCTTACAGGCTTGGGACGACATGAGGGTCATTAATGACATCATTTTCATTTTTGGGTGAACTAACCCTTTAAATTAGTGCTGGCCTGCTGTGCTGAGCTCCAGTATTTCTCTGATGTGACTGGTCACTGTACCTTGTGTCTCAGGGCCTCCACCACCAGGTCTCGATCACCATGTAGACCTTCATTCTGCTTATAAGAGCGGAAAGAGTCGCCAATGATGGACACAAGAAGATGGGACTAAGAAAGAGAAAAACAGCACAGAGAATCTTATCAACTCGAAATGAATTGCTGGTAAGATTTAACATGAAGTGACAGATTTCCAAAACTTTAACCCTACATTTATTAGTATAAATAATGATGAAGTTGATAAAAATTTAAAAATAGCATACCCACAGTAAGGCTTGATATCAAAAGATTAAAGAGGCACCGTCAAAATACAGTGAAACTTAATTTTGCAGCGTGTTCTAGTAAATATTGAACTAAACGCACATTGTGTCAATGCATTTAACATTTCCAGAACTCACAAACTTCTTGCTCTGGAAGATGTAGCAGTGGTGCATGTCTGCCGCTGGGTGTTTGGCTATGAAGCCCAGGATTTTGGGCTGAGACGGATGGACTGCACAGAATGAAACCGAGGGCAGAGCGCAGGAGTACAGCATGAACTGAGAAAAGGAGAGAGTGAATGAGGGTGTCGTACACCTGAGTGTCACTGTCTGAGCTCGAGTACATAGTCCTCAGTCACACCTTGGTTTTATGCTCTAGAATGTCAATGGCAGTTCTGGTCAGAAACAAATGTACTTTAGTTTTCTTCATTTTCTCTGCCATATCCATGCTAGGATCCTAAAAGAGAAGGAAAGTCATAGGATTAAGTTATATATAATACCGTAGTGGCTACAGTAGAGGGACATTAATGGTTCTATCACCTGCAGGGCTTCGACTGCATCTTTCAGAGTCTGCATCCCACCGGGACGGACCACCTGGATACGACCCAAAAACTACACCCAATCCCCAAACCCCATACGTGAGTGCAATAAACATTAATATTTAACATTATTAAGTACATAAATGCAACAAAACTATTGACTATATCAATGACAAAGTGATACTCACTTTAATTGAGAAGAATATTTCACTTTCGTCATCTATGTCACTCATTTTCACCACTTCACTGTCTGTCTAATGACAAATGACAAAATACACAGTGTACTAAAGAAGAAATATTTATCAAATATTATTTAAACAATGACATATAGTGGCCTGAAAATATTCGGACACTTCTGGCACTCTTTAAAAAGGCTTAATATTTCATTACATAATATCAAGCCAAGAGAATATCAGCAAACAAATGCTACTGCGCAGCGCAATCTTTCCCCAGATCTAACTTCCCTTTTATTAGTATATAATGCAAATTATAGGGCACAGAAACCACTACATATCCAAATACATTTTGATCACACACATGAGAAACTGTAAATGCACTTACGTTTGTGTGTTTGTATCGCTGAGATGAAGTCCTCTTCTGCTGTCTTTCAGGGTTGAAGTTGTGTGATGTTAATGGTTAACTATAAAAATTCTTTTCTTTATGGCACATCAGGCCTGATAACGAGTCAGCTATTAAAGTCTATTGTATTGACATTGTGATGTCATAGTTGTTTATGAACATTTAGCCATACGGACAAGTTAAAGAAACAGTTTACACCAATTCTTTCTTCAATTTAGTATTTAAAATGTATACTATAACTAGCACAAGTGAGGATAGCTGAGTTTATTGCAATTTTATTTAGAGTGTCAAGAACAAAACGTTGGCTCTAACCAGTAGATGGTGCTGTTGTAGATCAAATAATGCCTTACTGTACCATCATTTAATAAACAACAACAACGAAATCTTACAGAATAAACTAATTTATCAACGTAAAAGCCATTCAAGTAATGTAGCATGTATTGAACTAAAACTATCATAAAACCAAACACAATGTAAATGATTAATTCCATTAAAATTGTTACTCAAAAAAAGAAAAGAAGAGATAGAAAAAAATGCCTTGGTAGTTTAAATAATCATAAATGTTTAACAGTAAAGGCGCAATTATCCAGAAATGAGTCTAAATTTAATTCAGTTCACATTTATTTGTATAGCGCTTTTCACAATACACATCGTTTCGAATTTCGAAAGCAGAACATGCAGATTTACATAACATGTCCACATACAGAGTGATCTGTAATCAGATGTTTTGTACTGTATTTCAGAAATGTACAAATCATCGTTAGCTAAAAATGTATTCATTTAAACAATGTAATAATTTAAGGCAGAAACATTGAGTTTATCAAAGTAATTTACTTGTTTGTTAACAAATGAGCATTGGTGCATGTAAACATAATAATGAATTTATGAGGTGACCCTGATATATTGAGATTTATTACCAAATTTTATAGAAATGCAGAGAGATTTTTTTTTATGAGATATTGTGTCAGTATACAGACTTACATGAGTCAAAACTATTTCATTAGTGTGACAGGAAAGGTGTGAACAAGACAAGCATTTCTTGTTTTACAGGACAAAGGTGATGTGCATTTATGTTTATGTGAAAGCATACATAAAGTACATAAAGAGCTTTGCTCTAGCCATTTTAATGAATAAAATATTTAATAAAACTTGATTGTCTAATATGGCCCTGCAGAATGATGTGTGTCAATGTAATACAGTACATTCATAGCCTGCATTCTGGGTGCCATTCCTGTCATTATAGTCCCATAAGGGAAAATACAAGCAAAAATACAGCAGAGATGTTATCTAGCTCACTGGTAATATAATATCCAAGCTCTGTTTCTTTAAGAGCATCTGAATTTGATTTTTTTCTTTCTTTCCTCAGACATGGAAAGAGTTGAGCTCTGCATACATACACTGTCTATGCCGGTGTTACTTTATTTACAGTCTCTTCTCTTCAAAGACTTCTATTTCAGGCCAAATACACTACACTTCTGGGTAATATTCAAACAAAACCCATTCAGTTTCTTCTGTTTTCAGGGGTTGTATAGCTGTCGTACAAACATTGTATTCAAACTTTAAAATAAGTCAGTCAGTAAAGGGTCAATTTGTAGTACAGTAATGTCTGCTTTGCTTATAGCCTTTGTTCATGAAGCATCATGCCCAATCAAACTGAGGGGACACGTGCCCTCTCGAATTCTCAAGCCACGTCCAGAAGATGTGTATCTCGCTTGATTATCATATGTACATTTTCAATTGGTAATGTCTTTAACATCGCACTAACATGTCACACATCACACTAACTACATAAGTACTACCAAGTTGTTAAAAAGTGTTTTTCTTTTCTTTAGTAGCCTAAATAAAATGTGCATGACGTTCCAAAGCTATTCTTTCCAGGGGTACAGGATTAGTCATACTAATGCATCATAGACATATACACTAGACCTCACCTGGGGGTTCTAAGCATGCGTCAAAACCGCCTCCATCTTGGAACAGGGGTCTTGTCATAGGAAGTAGCTAGGTAACACTGCTATCTCTGCCTTTACTTCGAATTCATTGATGGTGGCGGACTTTTGTGCAGCGTATGAAGTTCACGGATGAAATCTGAACTAGGAAGAATGTTTAAAAAAAAAAAAAAAAAAAAAAACATTTTTTTTCTTTCTGGAATCAATGATAAATACATGTCTGACCGTTGGAACAAACCAAAAAAAACAAGAAAAATCGCATTCATGATGATTTATGGTGATTTTATTTGCGTTAGACCTGTGTCTACTACATTGACGCTGATGCATTAAAGTGGAGGGGCTCCCCTGTTTCAAGACGGCGGCTCTATTGACGCATTCGTTCTAATGAACTGCCATATCCAAGGTGAGGTCTAGTGTATATGTCTATGCTAATGCATAAGGAATAAAGGGATGAAGAGAATGAGGCAAGAATTTTACACAATGAAAGCATGTCCGTGTTAGTTAAACTCCACTCAAAAGAGTTATCCACGAATCTTCTGAGGTAGAGTGGATCCCAAACGCAGGGTACACTGCATCCTTAAACACGGCACTGAATGTATGAAGATGCTGCTTTCGGCCTCCCTGACCTGAGCTGTGGAATGCAATAGTTCCTCCTTCGTAATCCAGGGTCGCTTCGACCTTCTTTGGCGGCACGATCAGCCCGTCACCCACGGCCACATTAGCCGAGTCATGGCACGCCGTCAGCTTCTTGCTCTTCCACTGCAACCTCCAAGAGCTGGTGTTATGCCCCAGCCTGCTGTGGTCACCTTTACGTGGCATGCTTTTATAACACAGTCCCACAGACCACGCACACCCAGGGCCGACCTCCACCGCCCACATGTGAACTCCGGTGGAGAAACCCTGCGAGCACAAGACCTGACTGGCCGAGGAGAAGCGCTCGCTGTTATCTCCAGCATTACTGCTCTTAACTCCTGCACACTGCTTGACTGTTTTGAGATCGGTGGACAGCAGAAGGCTGGCGTTGGCCGTGGCTGGGTTGAAGGTCAGGTCTAGAGGGTTCATTATGCCATGGAGGCACTCCAACAGAAGACTCATCTCGACGTGGAAGGCGTCTGTACGTAGGAGAGCGCGCAGGTGCTTGGCATCGGAGGACTCTTGGGAAGGTAGACCGGGAATGGTGACGTTAGCAGCCTGGCGGACCCTTGCTTCAACGGTGAGGTAGTTCTGGATGAAGAGAAACTCTGAGGATTGATTGAGAACCTCGCTGGTGCACTGCTGGGCTTCCTGCAGCTGGTGTAGACAACTCTCCAAATCGCATAGACTGGCCTGCCAGCTTTTGTCTCGCTTATGAAGCTCGTCGTCCATCTCGGTGCTCATACGACTCTTAAAACATCACATATAAACAGTGTTAATGTGTTTTACCTCAACATGACTGTATGTCACCAGCACTGGTCTAGATCTGTTGTTCTCAACATAAGTGAGGGTGACATTTATTTGGCAATAATACTAAAATTAGAAGAGACCACATACGCACACATCATACAACTGACGCAAGTGTCTTTTGCTAGTTTCAGCCTGACGCAGTTATCGTTTTCACGTCCTGCACCACGCTGTTTAAATAGCAAATGCATTTGCACCCATCTGTGCGCACAGGGTCCTGGTCTACTCTGAGAATGAGGTGTGTTCAGGCGCATTGTTGGTGTGTTGATATTTTTTAGGCAACTGAAATAGATTGCACGATTGACCCACTGAAATGTGGTCAAAAGTCAATGGCACAGTATTTTTTTTTTTTGTTATTTAATGAGCATGTTAGTAATGTGAGCCAATAGGTGGGTCCACAACCAGTGCAGTCTCATCAATGCTACGTTCACACCGGACGCGAATCGCGCGTCAAATTCGCGCCTGACGCGTCTAGTTTGACGCTTGACCACTTTGTGTTAATTCGCGTGTCAAGACCGAAACTGGCGCGCGTAAAAACAAAAGTTTGAAGCGAAATTTACGCGCGTGGCACGCGTCAAAATCGAAATCCGTTGGCGGCCATTGTTTTTATGTCGACCGAGCATTCATCAAGAGAGTGTCGCTCTGTATTTACTCTGGAGAGCAGAACAGCGGCGTGGGGATCATCGTCGCCGTATATTTGTGTCCACCGGACCCTTCAGAGCCGAACCGTTTGGCGAGTTTCACCATTTGCTCGCTCCAGGAGCTGCGCTGGATGACGGCCGCTGTCAGCGGTACTTCCGCCTGTCCCGCGCCCAGTTTAATGACATGTTGTCCCGCATCGGAGCGAGGATCACCCTCGCCCTCATCCATCTAATCTAGCTGTCATTTATTTTTTGTTTCGATGATGAATAGAGCCAGCCTTCAAAAGTTATGAACCTGTCCTGTGATTTTTTTTTTCTCTCTCTCACGTCCAGACACGAATTTATGCACATATGTTGATTGTCTTTACAACATAATACTATTTCATATAATCTAGCTATGGAATGAATAACATTCAATACAAAATGAACATGTCTCGTATATAGAAATAATGTTTTAAGTGATAAAACATTTGCTTTGTTGTGCATAATCCCACCATGCATTTAGTCATATTAACAAAATAATTTATTGAAGCATCCAGACACTTCACCACGTGAGCAACAGCTTGGCACCTGATTGGTTAACGCGGCGCGAATTCACGCCAAAGTTAAGATTTTTCAACTTGGGCGGCAGACGCGATTTCGCGTCAAACGCGTGAATGCACAAATGGCACTAACTGAATCATTCGCGCGTAACGCGCTTAACGCGCCAGACGCTCAATTTGCGCAAACTTGACGCACGAATGAGGCGTATTCGCGTCTTCCGCGCCTCGCTCCACGCCTCATTCGCGCCGCAGGAATTTTTCACGCGCGTAAAGCGTCTTTGCATTGACTTAACATTGAAATCATTCGCGCCTGACGCGCTATTCGTGTCCGGTGTGAACGTAGCAAAGACGTCATATAACTGGGGGCGTCTTTTGACCATACGTCAATATCCGCCTTTTTAGGGCCCCCTTAAACGTCGGTAGCCGTTTTCGGATCCTAACTCTACCCCAGACCTAAACCTATCCCTAACCTACCCCGTCACCTAACTGATGTTAAAGGTAAAGCGTCAGTTGTATGACGGCCTGGGATCATCATCTACCGACGTTTAAGGGGCCCCTAAAAAGGCGGATATTGACGTATGGTCAAAAGACGTCCCAAGACGTCAGTTATATGACTTCTTGGGATGAGACTGTGTTACCACAACACACGTACACTCTGCTTATTACACACACAGCAGCACACAAACATGCCAAAGATATTAAAAACAAAAGGATCACAATGTAAAAGATGACTATTGTGTACATAAAGACAGTCTTAATTCAGTCTTACCGCTACAAATCCCGCCATGTAAATAGCGAATCTGCCATGGCGCGACCACAACTGGCTATTAAAGTAAATGGAAGATGAGACTCTGATTGGTTAATTGCACGTTACGCCCAAAATACACCCATTACTCAGTAAGAGAATAGGGACAACCCTTTTAGACCATGCGCCGGGAGAGCCGACCATTTCCATTTTCGTTAAACTAGCAATGGACCACTTGCACTGAACTTCGCAACGCACTTCCATTTGGAAACAATACATATCACTTATTTCCGGTTATGTTTACTTTCAATGTACTGCGGTCAATGAGTTGAACAAACACCACCTAAAAGGAGTGTCTGTAATAAGATTTTATATTTTGGAAATTTTTATTGACAGAAGAAGGGATATTCCAACATGACATCATGACTTTTGCGTAAACATACACACCACTTTCGAGTCAGGTGGCGTGTTATCTCTACGCATTTTGAACTAACTGCGTGTATCCGCGTGTATGCGTGTATGTCTACGCCATTAACGTCCGCGTCATTCCGCGTGTCTGAACACGCAGTCAAATCTCCAGTCATAAATGCCCTTAACCCCAGTGACGGTTAAGTTTAGGGATGGGGTTGAGGTAAGTCATATCTTTTTTTCACCTAGGATGGTAAGGGAACAGTCATATGCCATTAACCCCAGTGAAGGTTAGGTTTAGGGACGGGTTGAGGTAAGTCATATATTTATATAATGTTAAGTCAACGGCGTTCATAAACACGCTGAAAGGCGATTATGTGTCTTGATAGCACGCCAAAAATGGAAATACGAATTGGCGTGTCATACACATGCTACTTCATGGGATCAGTCTGGATATTCTGATGTTTACCATGTGCAGAATTTCCAAAACTCATCAGAATGAAGTTTAAATCCAAACCAAGCCAATCCGAGAAAGCTGAAATGTGTGAGAACAGAATAACATCAGTACGAAACACGAACATTTATTTATTTGGATTAAATATTGTAATCATGCAGTGTCATTTTTCAATGTCAATCGGTTTACTATTTACATGTTCATGCCCAAAATTCTTAATTAATATTCAGAGAAGTTGACTGTCATTCTCCTCTACGCTGCGGGCGTTCTGATTGTAGGCACCTCGCGATCATTCATTCATTTAACTATTTTAAAAAGACAGGAATAAAGCAGCAATGCACACTTTTTATTAGTCAAATTCATTAAAAAAATTTACACTCAAAGTAGGCTAAGAGAAAAATACTGTTGTTAATGAGAAGACATAAGACTGCTGCAGGTTAGTGGATAAATATACAGTATTTAGCCTATTTATTATTCAGAATGGAACGTTGGAAAGAAAATATATTTATAGGAACATTTCAGCAGGCGCAAGATAATTAATACAGAGATCATTATTCATTGTTTTAATCAATTGGCATCCATAAAATGTAGTGATAATCTGCATTCTCATATACAGTATGGACGTGCGATGAACACTGTAACCCATATGTAATAAGTAGAACGCCGAAGTAGTGTGCAAGTAGTCCATTGTGGATTCGGACACTTGCGCCGTGTGCTTAGATCGTTAAAATAGGGCCCATTTTGTCTAAACACATAAACCGAACTAGTTAAAGTGGCACGATTGTAGCTATCTAGCTTTCTATCATTCATACCTTGTATGTAGTGATGAGTGAAGTCATGTTGTCCAGCAGGATGTTTGCCCTGGCCACCAGCTTATCTTCGGCCTTGTCCCGAGGTCCTGCGTTGGCGCTTTTCACCAGAGCGTCTGTCATCTGTAGCTTGTCAGACACAGACTTCCCCAGTTTCTCAAGAATTCTCGTCATTTCCCCCTTCGCCACCTCGAACGTCTGCACCTCGTGGTGCTGGTGCGTGCCCTCCATCAAGCACTCGGAGCAGAGGAACAGGCGCTCCTGCACGCAAAGGTACTCCGTGACCTTCAAGTGCACCGGGCACCTCTTCCCATCCCGTTCTGCTGGCAGTCCCACTAAGACGTGCAGTGATCTGTGCCGTTCCTCGTGTTTCTTGAGGTGGCTGGGGCACAATGACATTTCACATCGTGTGCAGAATTTCACCGCAGCCACTGGATCATCCAGGCAATGGTCGCATGGCACCGTCGTGCCCCCTCTCAGTCCGCCGCCCGAAGTGGCCGCCAGGAACCCATCCACGATACCGTTGAGCTTGAAGTTCTTGGGAAGAGTCTCCGGGCTGCCGTACTCTTCCCTGCACTCCGGACAACGTTTCGGGGAATTGGGATCTTCTGCGTGCGCAGCATTTTGTATGCAACCCAGGCAGTAATTGTGTCCACAAGGAAGGGTTACGGGATCACGGTACAGCTGCAAACAGATCGGACAGCTCAACTCCAAAGCAAGACGCTCCTCGGGTTTACTTAGAGACATGTCTACAGGTTCTTAATGAAGTCAGTTCTGCGTGTTGACTTTGAGAACTGAGGGATATCAGAGCGGTTACTGGTATAGCTTGTTCTGAGCCTGTACTGCAACATTCCAGAGACAGTCGGCATTTCCAAGAAATGCAATTGGTTCTACCAGCAACACAAGAATGCTTTATAGCAGCTTACATGATGTTTATGGGTGAAACAACAACCTCTAATGGAAAATGGAAAATTAAAAATGGATAAATGAAGCGCTGTGGGTATCCGTGCATGTTGATTAGAACCAAGGAAACCAGAGGAACAAAATAATAATGAAAGCAAAGATTTTACACAGAACATGTGCCATGCTTCTTGATGTTAATGGTAAACACTAATTCCTCCGTGTGAGGCTCCTATTGTGCCACATCTGAAAACCTTGAGAGTGCTTCATCCTGTTGCGCAAACCAGAAAAGTTTGGTACTTGTATCAAGGACAGGATCTGACTGTCTGAAACTGACAGTCACGCTATGGCCCCTTTGAGAGGGAATCGAAATCAAATGCTTTTGATTGTGCTGAAATAGAGTAGGACATAATGCTTCACTTTCACCACTTAAATGTGTCTCTTGTATTTATCACAGATTGTATTGTAAAGATGAACAAATACATTTGCTCATGACACATGGGCTTTTTAAATAGGTAACAGGACAGTATTTCACCAGTCGTGTCAGGACACGTCAAAAGACTTAAGTTTGCAAAGCAGTGTAGTACTCGAGACTCGGACTCGTCTCGGACTCGGTCTCGAGGCCATATTTTAATGGTCTTGGTCTTGTCATGGACTCGTGTCCATTTGGACTCGGAATTGACTCGTACTCGAACATTTTTTTTTTAGGACTCGGAATTATTCCCGAGTCCACTCGAGTTCAATTAAAAATATTTTTCATGATTATTATTGTATGTTAATAAAATATTTCTTTAAATTGATTGACACGCCCAGTGATTGGTGATTTTCTAGTGCGCAACTGGGCATGACAAATTGTAATAAAATTACTTTTAACACCACCTACTATGTGGCCTTTTTACCCTAAACTGATCATATACTTTTTAAACTCTAAGTAAATTCAGTAAAAAAAAAAAAAAGGATTTCTCTAAGTTAATAAAAGTAAATTAGGTAGGCTAATCAACCCTCTCTGGTCTCGGTCTCGACTCTGACTCGGCCGTCTCTGGTCTCGGACTCGACTCGGACTCGACTCTCTATGGACTCGGTCTTGACTCGGACTCGACTCTCTCTGGTCTCGGTGTCGACTCGGACTCGAGTGAGGTGGTCTCGACTACAACACTGTTGCAAAGTGTCAAATGTAAGTGCGTTACTTGTCTACAGAAAACCTAAAGACTCAGATAAGTGCTCAAGTATCTTTTTAAGATAAGTCAGACAACTGAAGCTCACTCCTGGATGTCTTGGTGTCATTTGATTTGTGAGAGACGTCCGGGTGTTGTGATCAAAGAGTAAAATCCTCTCACTGTTGTAATATTGTGAGATTCAGAAAGAATGTGAAACTGCTGCAGGGAATCTTGAACCAAAGCCATGGTGAGGTATGTACAAAAGCAGAATGATCATAGCAGGATAACAATGCAAATTTGCTCATGCAAATCTGTGCATTAGTTTCAGTCAAAAAGCATCATGTCCCCCGTTTTGAATTGAAACTTATCTTTCAAAACTTATATGACTTTTTGTCCAAAAATCTGCATTTTCCAATCAGGACACCAGCTGCAACCAGCCGCCTGAAATATATTCTTGGTCCATTTTCTTCACAGAGTTGGGCGTTGAGGAGCAGCTGGGAGTGAAGGCAGAACACCGTCCTCACTGTCATACACACTGTAAAAATGAATAAGCTTTATCTAATCAATAAAAATTGAGGCAACAGATTACACTTAATTAACTTGAACAAATTAGAATTGAGTAATAATTAATCAAATTATTCCTTAAAAGTTGAAATGAGTAAAGTTTACACCAAAAAATTAAACAAAAATAAGAGATTTTCGTCAAAGATTAATTAAGAACTCTTTATTTTATATTGCCAACATTAAAGACACCTGATGTCAAGCAGAATCACTGAAGGAGAAAACTAAAACAAACACCGATCACCATAATGGTGACTTAAATGTACGTTTTTTTTTTCATTTTAAATGGTTTACTTTTAAGGGATTATTTTGAATAATTATTACTCAATTCTAATTTGTTAAATTTAATTAATAATATTGCTTGTTGCCACATTTTATTTTTTTTTTTTTTTGATTAGATAAAGCACATTCATTTTTACAGTGCATGTCTGCCATCTTGTGGTCTGATACATCTGAGGCATCACAATACACACTGCATGGTCATATGAAAGAATATTAATATTTCTTTAATCAGTTGATTTCTGTTTTATTTAGAGCTATTTTAGAGGATCACATAAAGGAATGGTTCCAAAGTCTGAGATCCCTAGAGAAAATGCCTCAATTTTGCAATCATTTCTAATTTATTAATAATAAAATCAATATGGGTAAAACGTTTATTTGAAAAACCAGCATGATTTTCAGACATGTACAAATCTTTTTGATTTGATTTGATAACGACCCAAAGAGGATCTTGTGGATTTAGTGGAAGCAGGAACATCTGCTCGTCTGTACAAAGAGATTCACAAATATTTCTTCATGTTTGGTTTATTTTCAGGTTTAAAGTCAACAAAATCCTAGCTTTTCAATGTGGACTCATTATGTGTCCAAATGTTCTACATTTGCAATGAGGAAAACTAGAGACTAAATTTGGCATTGTCTAATTTCCCATTTTCCAAATGTTTAGGGATTAGGGTTAGGCTTACTATGATATAAAAAAAGCAAATATGCATGTGTTGTGCGTGTATAAAGCACAGTTATAAGAAGGATGGAACTGTAATTCTCATTTAGCCCCAGTTTAAACAGGGGTTCAGTATTCAAAGAGCCCTTTCCTTTCCTCAGTGCTTGTTAAAGCATCCGTGGGCTCTGCAGGTAATAGGGGACCCTAACCCAGCAATAACGTCCACTTTGAAGTGGAAACGCTATTAAATCAACGTATGGCTCCCCTCCTCCCACAGGAACAAACATGAGCCCGACAGAGCAGGGCCTTTCCCCACAAGCTACCACACAGTGCTGCCTCTTAAATTTAATTAGGCTGTCATAAAAAAAAATTCTGAAACAAAGGTGCGCTAGACTGCAGTGCATTCAGGGAAACAATTCTGTGTTCATTCTTTGTAGTTTAACCTTTCTTGATGGCGTCTTATATGTCAGACTTGGTCCTTAGAGGTTTGCAAAGTGCTTAAAGGGATAGCTCGCTGGTAACACTTTACAAAACTAATTGCAACTGCATTTTATACAGGATTTAATCTTTGTTGTTAATGTCAGCATTTCACGAATACATTATTAAAATTGTGTTAATTGTGCACTGTGAACTAACATGAACAAACAATGAACAGCTGTATTAGCTAACATTAACAAAGATTGACAAATATAGTAACAAATGGTTTATTTAATAGATAATGTTAACTAATGAACTGTATGCTAGTGTTACCAGTTCATAAAAAAATAAATATTATGTCGTTTTTTCACCGCCATGTCTTTCCAAACCGAAAATGACTTTGCTTCTTCTGTGAAACGTATGAAAAGATATTTTCGAAGAATGTTGGTGGGCAAACCGGTTTGGTGACCATTGACTTCCATTGTATATACAAAAAACACAGACATATTTAAAAATATCTTCTTTTTGTTGCACAGAAGAAAGAAAGTCGTGTATGCTTGGAACAACAAGGGTGAGGCAATTAGAACAGAATTCACATTTTTGTGATAAACAATTTGACTCAAGTTGTGCATTTTTATGTCTTGTCCATTACAGATGGCATGATGAACTTTACTAATTTGTGTGTGTGTGTGTGTGTGTGTGTACAGGGAAATCAGATTTGATAGATTTTTTAATTTATATAAAATATTGGTATTGCGTCAAGACAAATGTGAGTTAAAAAATGCAGTTTTTAAAATATACGGTAACACTTTAGAATACGGTTCCTTCGTTAATGAATAACTACACAAGAACTAATGAGTAACACAATATTAACAATCTAGTAACTATTATTAACTAACAAGAAACTCTGATTAATGAACTAGTAAGTAATAGCGCACAGACGAAAGTAGTAGTTCACTATTAAGTAATCAATATTTTTTTTAATACTTCCCAGAGAACTACTGAAAAAGTTTATTAACAATCTAGTAACTACTATTAACTAAAATAAATTCTTATTAACGAATTAGTAAGTAATAGCTCACAGATGAAAGTGTTACTAGATACTTCTGTGCGAGTTACTAATTATTTGGATTCGTATTATAAAGTGAAGATCATTGGAACTAACTAATGACTCAAGTGTTACTAAAGACATTTTCTAAAAGTTACTAAAGTTCACCAAAAATCTCAAACGGTTGCACAAATCATGACTAGATCATGTAGTAACACTTGAGTCATTACTAGTTAGTTATAATGATCTTCACTTTATAATACGAATTATCTAGTAATTATCTAAGAAGTATCTAGTAACACTTTCATCTGTGAGCTATTACTTACTAATTATTTGGATCTGTACTATAAAGTGAAGATCATTGGAACTAACTAGTAATTACTCAAGTGTTACTACATGATCTAGTCATGATTTGTGCAACCGTTTGAGATTTTTGGTGAACTTTAGTAACTTTTAGAAAATGTCTTTAGTAACACTTGAGTAATTACTAGTAAGTTCCAATGATCTTTATTTTATAATACGAATCCAAATAATTAGTAAATCCCACAGAAGTATCTAGTAACACTTTCATCTGTGAGCTATTACTTACTAATTCGTTAATAAGAATTTATTTTAGTTAATAGTAGTTACTAGATTGTTAATAAACTTTTTCAGTAGTTCTCTGGGAAGTTTAAAAAAATAGTAGTTATTGATTACTTAATAGTGAACTACCACTTTCGTCTGTGCGCTATTACTTACTAGTTCGTTAATCAGAGTTTCTTGTTAGTTAATAATAGTTACTAGATTGTTAATATTGTGTTGCTCATTAGTTCTTGTG